TAGTTTTGCTACACCCACTAATACTACAGATAATCAAAAGGTAAAATAGTTGCTCTCATTTCATTGAGATTTTTTTTTTATGTCTAAGCATCTGAATTCTCAAGAAGGCAGTACTGTATTTGGCATAATTCTAGGAGATGGAAAGAGCATTGGAAAACAAGAACCTTCAATGAACAGCTCTGCTAGGGTAGCAATGCTTGATTACTTAGCAATAAAAAAAATCAAGTCTTCTTAATATTAAAAATAAACCAAATCTCACTAAATAATGGTGAGTGTTTCTAGAAGTTAAAACAATAAAATGTTATCAGCTGGGCATGATGGCGCATGCCTATTATCCCAGAACTCAGTAGGCTGAGACAAGTGGATCTCTATATTTGAGGTCAGTCTGCCCTACAGAGTGAGTTCCAGGACAGCCAGGGCTACATAGTGAAACCCTGTCTCAATAAAAAACAAACAAACAAACAAACAAAAATGTTGCTAACCTTATATAGTGTAGTATTTTTTTACACAAGTTGATCATTCTTTTGGTCAGAAATTAAATACATTTAATGACATTTAAGCAGCTAAGATGGGAAATGTGGTATTTCACATTTTCTTGCATTTTGAGAGAATATGAGAAAGATATAAAAGTAGTTTAATCAACATGAATTAGTCCTTGAAATTTTACTTACTTAAGGTAAGTCACTCCAAGTTTTCTATTGAGAAAGAATGTCTATGGCATACTGAGTGGATAACACCAAGATGATGTAAGAAGTCATACTATAAACATCATTACAGGTTATATAAAAGTGTAGATTGGATTGATTTGGAAAGATAGAGACTTGAAGGCGAATAACACTAAAAACCCTAGATGTTTTGGTAAAACAAATATGGGAAGTCTGAACATAATGGACTGGGGAGTAAAGTACCATGCCACATGAGGACTTAACTTCAACTCTCAGGATCTATGTAGGCATAGTGGAGCATCAGTAACCAACTCTGGGGTAAGTAAATTCCTAACACTCACAGATAAATTGATGAGCGGCAGTTTCAGTGAGAAATCCTTTCTCAAGAAATAATGAGGACTTCTGTGCAGCTTCCAGGCACTTCACCTGGTACTCAGACTTCCCACATCCTCTTCCAGAGTATATCCCAGTGAGCTCCTCTGGCATCTCTACCCATGCCTTTTCTGCATCCCACCAGATCTAGACTTCACCAATGTATAGCCTAGCATGGACTCACCTGTCTGTACTACAAGGGAGCTCTAAGCTGCAGCCAGGATTCTCCCTTCCTACCTCCCAGCCCATAGGACTCTTTCATTCTATTTCCAATCTTTACACTCCAGCACTGGAAAGAGAAGCACACCATGTACACCAGCATACCAACCTAGTCCCTTCTGCCCATCTGATTTCATTCTACCCAAGCCATTTCCGTGGTCTAGACCCAGCCTTCCTTCACATCCTATCTTCTGCCACAACCTGCTCTGTTCATAACAAACTCAGAGGTAACAAAGAATTTCACTGTGACAAGATCTCATCACAAAATGTCAACAATATGAAAGATTAAGCCAGTATCTGCTTTTTAAAACCCACTTGTAGAAATAGTTGCTGGTGAGAATGACTTAGATAAACTCCAGAACACAGAATTTAAGAAAAGAACAATTGTAAACTTCATCAAAGAATGGAGTTTAGAGAAAGGAGTTAAAGGGGACAGAAAGAAATTGCTCAATGAAATTAAGGACAAAGTGTTTAAAGGAATAAATGCCTGAATGGTGACCCAGAAAGCACAAGCATAAGGCTAACAGAAATGACAAAAGACAAATCCAAGGGTTTAGACCAAAATTCAGCCAGGATATAGAAACACTGGAGATGACTCAAGTTGAAATAAAGGTGGAATTGAAGAACCCAACATATCAGCAAGAAAACCCAAAAGAAAGCTTTACAAGATGAATCAAGAAGAAGGTAGAATATCTGGAATGAAAAATAAGTAAAGTATTCAGACCAAATAAGTACAAGATATGAAAACAAACCAACCAACAAACAACAGCAAGAAAGAAACACACAGGAAATGTGGGACACCATCAGAAAAATCAAACCTGTCCCAAAATGCCACTGGCGTGTGTGTGTGTGTGTGTGTGTGTGTGTGTGTGTGTGTGTGTGTGTGTTTATGTGTGTGTATCCAAAGTAGTCTGTAGCTAGAGTTTTCCTGCCTGGCCCACAGTCAGGACAAATCTTTCTCACCTGCCAGTCCCACAGCCACTCAGACCCGACCAAGTAAACACAGAGACTTATATTGGTTACAAACTGTATGGCCGTGGCAGGCTTCTTGCTAACTGTTCTTACAGCTTAAATTAATCCATTTCCATTAATCTATACCTTGCCACATGGCTCGTGGCTTACCCGCATCTTCACATGCTGTTTCTCATCATGGCGGCTGGCAGTGTCTCTCTGACTCAGCCTTCTACTTCCCAGCTTTATTCTCCTCCTTGTCCCGCCTACACTTCCTGCCTAGCCAATGGCCAATCAGTGTTTTATTTATTGACTAACTAGCAACACATTTGCCATACAGAACATCCCACAGCACTTCCCTTTTTTTTTTTTTTTTTCCAAAAAGGAAGGTTTTAACCTTACAAAGTAAAATTACATATAATTTGGGAATTTGGGCATAGTTTCTCTTGCTACTTCCTGCTGGAGGGGGGCGCTGTATCTTATGGGGAAATAAAGAAAATTTTAGGATTATGGAATAGTCCATGAGGCTGTATTATCTGAGCCAGTTGCCTTCAAACCATTCTGAATGTTGGATCATCTGGGTCATGGTGTCATCGGAGACCTTTCAGGGGGTCTTGGCTGGTCAAACCTGATGTGTCTTAATCTGGAACAAATCCATAGCCTCTGGCTTTCTGTGGGAACAAAAGCAGAGTCTCCTTTCCAAAGCAACATATCCTTATATTCAAATTTTGAAGTCAAGGTACCTTTAAAATATACATTTTGGTATAACTCAACAGCTTTTACAATCAAATGTTTTTCAGCAGTTAAAAATCCCAAAGACAACATAATCTAGATTCTCTGTGTAATATTCATCTTCACGTGGCTTATTTTTTATATTACCTTTACTGTCTCTTTAAAGACTTTATTTTTTAAAACTATGTATTTGTTTATATAACTGTATATATCACCTTTTTTGTCTCTTTTAAGCCTATGTATATTTTATGCACATTGTAAGCTATTACATCTGAATCTGTCTTATTGTGAATCTATTGCCTTAAACTGCAGCAGCTGTGGCTGCTGGCTCCACCCACCTTAGCTTCCCAACATGGTGGTGTTACCTTTTCCACCAGCTCTGGGAGCTATCATGGGTCTATGCTTTTAGCCAAGCAGCGTGTAGTCCAGAAACCTCTTTTTTTTATTTTGTACTAGCAAAGTCTAAATCCACCATGCAGCTTAATATGCCACTTGCAGAGGCCTCATTCCTGCCATATTGTAGGTTGAGCGCACATGCTAGGAACCCACAAGTAGCTCAAACTGGCAGCTGCCGCTCATTTGAGAGAGACAATTAGGAATTGTTTTTAGCTCCGTTTTAGAATCTTTTTTCTCAGGTTTTAGGTGGAAACTCTTGCCACCACGTTGGACGCCATTTGTAGCTAGAGTTTTCCTGCCTGGCCCACAGTCAGGACAAATCTCTCTCACCTGCCAGTCCCACAGCCACTCAGACCCGACCAAGTAAACACAGAGACTTATATTGGTTACAAACTGTATGGCCGTGGCAGGCTTCTTGCTAACTGTTCTTACAGCTTAAATTAATCCATTTCCATTAATCTATACCTTGCCACATGGCTCGTGGCTTACCCGCATCTTCACATGCTGTTTCTCATCATGGCGGCTGGCAGTGTCTCTCTGACTCAGCCTTCCACTTCCCAGCTTTATTCTCCTCCTTGTCCCGCCTACACTTCCTGCCTAGCCAATGGCCAATCAGTGTTTTATTTATTGACTAACTAGCAACACATTTGCCATACAGAACATCCCACAGCAGTAGTCTTCCCTCCTGGGAAAGGACAATTTCTTAAGACAAGAACATCTAAATATTAATTGCTTTACTTCCATGAAATCATCAGGAAAACTGGTGGTATCAACAAAGGCAAGTAGAAACCTAAACTTCAGAGTTTTTTTTGTTTGTTGGTTGGCTGTAATGAGCTCCTCATATCAACCTTTTATCCTAGTTGAATCAGAGATGGATCCATAGGGAGTGGATATTATCACCTCCCTCTTCCTCGAGTAGGAGGGGCTTTCTATCCTCTGCTCAGACCAATCCTACCCTCTTTCCTTGTAATAACACTAGCAGCCATACAGTTTGAATGTCTACCTTGAATGATGTCACAGCAGGTAGTCTCCAAGAAGCCAGTGTTTTAAGTCAGTCATTGTAAAATCTCATATCAATGAAAGTTGAAGAAGAGAAATGATAGGATTTTATCAGTAGGAGCTTGAAAAGGATTATTAAATTCATTTTAAAAAACTAGTAAAAACTTGAAACTAGATGGGAGTTTCTAAAAATTCATACATGGCATCTACAGATTAATTATCTACAGTTAATATTATACTCAAAGGCTAAAGATTGCGTCTCTGTCAAAGTCTGAGAGAACTCTCTTTGCCTAAACCATTGATATGAGCTAGAAGTTCTAAGAACACAACAAGGTAGCAAATGAAATAAAAGTAATGACAAGAAAGGAGTAAACAGGAATAAATAATATTTTCCTTGTTTGCAAGTAACACAATTGTCTACAGGGATGCCACATATACAACTACAAATATTATAAACCTCTTGAATCTGATATTTGAATAGAGTAAGGTAACAGCATATAGATAAGCATGTTAAATCAATTCATTTTAAATGATTCTAATAAATATGATAGACAATTAAAAATATAGTAAAATTTATAATCATTTAGGAAAGCAAATTAACAGTAAATCTGACAAAACATTTGCAAGACTTTTATGCTGAAAACTGTAAAACTTATGGGAGAAGTCAATGAAGATTTTATAAACAGAGAAACATATTGTGTTTGTGTCTTTCAAAGTTCAAAATAGCAAAGATGTCCATTCTCTCCAAAACTGATATATAGTTTTATTCAAATTCTTACCAAAATACACCAAGAGTTTGGATGATATAAATGAAGCTTCCTTGCTTTGAAAAGAAGAAAAAATGTCAGAATCCATTGCTCCATTTCAAGGATCCCCTGTGGGCCACGGGAGTCAACCATGTATGAGGTAGACATACAGACTAGCAGAATAGAAGACAGCACAGAAATAGATGCCTAGGACGTGCTCAGCTCAGGAGATTCTGGGAAAAGTGAAAATGCAATTTAATAGAGAAAATAAATCTTTTCAGCAATTGGTGCTAATGAAATTAGACATCTACTATCAAAAATCAGTTTTGATCTAGGTATAAAAATGGACCATTGACTTAAATGTAGAATATAAAGCTATAAATTCCTAAATAAATAAATAAATACATAAATAAAATACGGAAGTCTTCAGGATATAGAATTCTTCAATGAACTTTTAGGTTTGCTTCCTAAAGAGAAATGTATAATGCTAAAAATTGACAAATTCCAATTCATCAGAATTGAGGAAAAAACTGTTAAGCTCTCATAGGAGGTCCTGTTATGTGAAGAAAATAAGGGCCTGGGATTTCACTACTAGAGAAGATATATGTAGTGGTATTTGCTCCACCCATGACCTTGGGCTATACTGCCTGAAGGAGGCAGCGCTTCCTGCCTTTGTATTTGACTTCTTAAAAGGAAAGGGAGAGGGCTCGCACGTTCCCTTCATTGGGCTTCCTGGTGTGATCGGACAGCCAGGTGGATTTTCTCCCAGTCAGAACAGAGGATGATTTCAGCTGTTTACTCAGTTCTGTATTCATGAGTGTATTTCCTCAATTTATATCTTAATAAATCCCTAATATCCACTAAATAGACCCATGTGGACTGATGTTAACAAGTGGCACCCAATGTGGGGCATGATCCACATAGACCTGGAAAACCTTAAAAAAAGATTCTGAACGCACAGAAATGGAGGCAAGAGCAGCTTCCTAGTTCAGGTGTCTCATTCATGCAGGCTGCCAGAGATACGGCATTTGAGCTTGAGCACAGCATGATGGATTCTGCCATGGTAGGAAATATCTAACAAGCATGAAAGACTGGGCTCTATGTCAAGACTACCTGTGTGTATGTACATGCACAAACAATAAAAATTGTACACTGTGGGAAATATTTGCAAAACACATTTTCCTTAACACTCTGGAATATATAAAGGGTTGCTAAAATAAACCAAAAATAAAGTAAAAAAGATGTAAACATTCCAAATAGATAATGGAAACAAAGCACACAGAACAATAGTGGAGGAACATACACACATAGGAAGTGCAGACATGAAGAGGAGTTCAACACAATGAGCTGGTAGAAAGTTATGAGTTAAAAGCACAACCATGGAGCAAGAATGCAGACCCCCAGCCACAAAAAAGATATGCAAATTATACATCTAATAAAGGATTGCTATTCAACATACACAAAGAACTGTTAAAACTCATTAAGAATATGAATAATCCAGTTTTAAAAATAAACAGAAATCCTGAACAAATTATCACCAAAGAAGAAATAGAAATTGCAAGGAAACTATAAAATGGTCCAACATAGTATGTCATATGTCTCTGTAAGTTAAAACAACAGAGACTTATTTGAATGACCTGAGTCCCAAACACCAATAGATCAGAGCTTGGTGAGGATGTGAGAAAGAGAAATTTGAATTCATTGTTCCTAAAAATGTAACATAGTACATTCAGAATGGAATACTGTCTGTTTCTTATAAAAGCAAGAATATTATTAGACCCAGTAACTGTACATCTTGATAATGACTCAAATGAATGAAAGTACATCCCTGTACAAAGGCTTGCACACAAATGTTTAAAACAGATTTAATCATAATTGCCCAGATTTGGAAGCAAACATCTTCCTCAATGGGAAAAATGGGTAAATTCTGGTATACCCAAAGAGTAGAGTATTAGTAAGCACTAAAAGCAGATGAATAACTGAGCCATGGAGGAAATTCAAATGCATATTACTAAGTGAAAGAATTCAGCCTGGAGAGTTTACACATCATCTGATTCCAACTATGAGATACTCTGGAAAAGGCAAAACTAGGTAGACAGTTAAGAAAGTCAGAGGTTGTCAGGGACTGGAGAAGAAAATAAATAAATTGGAGCACAGGGGATTTTTAGGACAGTGAACTAATCTGTATGTTACAATGGTGGAAGCCTACCATTATACATTTACCAAAGCCCTCAGATTGTGATTCTCAACAGTGAACCTGAAAATAAACTATGGATTGTTTATGTAACATTGACCATCACTAACGCCCAACTATGGTGCGAGATGCCTATGACAATGGAGTTAGGGGCTGTGGGATGTCCTGTATGCTGTGAATATATGTTGCTATGATTGATTGATAAATAAAACACTGACTGGCCAGTAGACAGGCAGGAAGGATAGTGTGGCCGGGACAAGGAGAGAGGAGACTGCTGGGTGGAAGAAGGCTGGGTCAGGAGATGCTGCCAGCCTCTGCAATGAGTAGCAAGATGTCAGTTATGGGTAAGCCACGAGCCACGTGGCAAGGTACAGATTAATAGAAATGGGTTAATTTAAGATATAAGAACAGCTAGCAAGAAGCCTGAGACATTAGGCCATACAGTTTGTAAGTAATATAAGTTTTTTGTGTGTTTACTTGGGTCTGAGGGCTGCGGGAGCCAGGCAGGAACAGAGTAACTACAGCTACAGTTAGGCATGCCTTTATGAGCACATATGGAAACTAGATTTTCTACTTAATTGTGTGAGCTATGAACTTACATTTTTCCTAAGAATTAATTTTTATTGATTAAAAAACATAAGTTAGTACTTAATGCTTGTCTGAATGAGTAAATTATAAAAGAATCAGATGATCAAATGTAAACAAGGAAGCTGGATTACTGAAACATTTCTGGGGGGATACAAAATGATTTAGTCAAGGCTGGAAAACAGTTTGGGGGTTATAGAAGAAAGCGTACAATTTCCACTGTTTCTATCAATTGAACTTCTGGGCATTTATCTCAGACATGAAAATGTATGTTCACTCAAAAAAAATGGGCATGATTGTTCATGGCAGTTGACTTTTTTAATATTTATTTTTGAAATTATTTGTATATATATGCTTGCATATGTTTATGTGCACCATATCTGTGCAGGTTTCTGCAGAGGCCAGAGTACATTGGATCTTCTGAACCTGGACTTATAAATGGTTAGGAGACATCTGCTGTAGCCACTGGACCTGAATCTGAGTCCACTGCAAAAGCAATGGGCTCTCCAAACAGCTGAGCCATCTCTCTAACTAGCCACTCAAATTTTAGTCTTTCTAAACTGGAAAGATTTCAGACATCTTTCAGTGACCTTATTGGTTAAAAAAATGAATTTGCATTTCATTTGTTGCAACCAAACAATAAAAGAAAGACATAAGTAAAAGCAGGCCATATAGACTGATCACCATTATGTTGGATTAAAAAACATCCTAAAGAGTTACATATTTATACGATTCTGTGTTATAACTGAAATCAAGTAATTACAGAAATAGAGAACAGTTAGCAGTTGCCAAGTGTTAGGTGAGTGTAGAGATGGGAGATTAGATATTGTAATTGACAGCAAGAGGGAGGTGCCTTGTGGTGATGGAGATGTTCTGTGTTTTATTGGTATCAATGTGAGCATCTGGTTTCAATAGTAAGGTGTACTTTTTCATCTCTCCTTGGGGAAAAGGAACTCAGATCCTGGTTCATGGTGCATTATTCTTTATGGTTATAGAAGAATAAAATTACTTCAAAATAAATAGTTTTCTTAACTTGTAGTGTGGACTCTGAATCTGTATGAGATGAGAGATTTTTCACAACCTGAAGTATTAATAGTAAACAGAACCAGAGCACATGAAACAACAAACTTACAGGAGACGTACCGCAGACAGAGCTGACACCACATTCTATTTTGGACATATCTTTCCCTTACCTAAATACCTTTAAATTAAAACCAGAGAATATTCACATCGAAGCCATCGTATCTCCAGCTTTCTAACTCCTGTGCTCAGCTGGATTGATTTTGAGGCCGACCTCCATGCACTTAATTAGAGCTGTTTTGGTTGGATTTTTGTTAGCTTTCATGTTGAGGAAAGAGAGCTTAGTGGGCATTTAACTGTGTACAGTAAAATCTTCAGAGGTTAGTTCAATGAATACACTTGTCTTTCACACACACACACACACACACACAAAAAAAAAAAATGGAGGTGCTTGTCTTGAAAATAATCCAGTTTTCTTTACTTGAACGTGCATAACTCAATCACAGAAACTGACATCATTTCTTCCTTTTTTGGAAGCGCTAAATTCAGATTTGTTTACAAGTTGTTCATAGAAAAGAACTATGAAATTTTGAGAAACCTAGGAAATACTGATATTCTTTACTGGTTCAGTGGTACTCACCCAAAGCCAGTGTTACTAAGTAGAAGTAAAGTTAAGGATATAGTTAATTTGAGGGGTCCCCACTGGATCAGGCCCTCCGAATGGGTGAGACAGCTGATTGGCTTGATCTGTTTGGGAGGCATCCAGGCAGTGGGACCAGATCTTGTGCTCATTGCATGAGTTGGCTGTTTGAAACCCGGGGCCTATACAGGATTGTTTGGCTCGGCCTGGGAGGAGGGGACTGGACCTACCTGAACTGAGTCTACCAGGTTGACCTCAGTCTGTGGGGAAGGCTTTGCCCTGGAGGAGATGGGAATGGGGGGGGGGGATTGGGGGGAAGGTGAGGGGGACGGGAGGGGGGAGAACAAGGGAATCCATGGCTGATATGTAGAACTGAATTGTATTGCAAAATAAATTAAAATAAATTAAAAAAAAATAAAGATTTGGGAGTTAATGAATCTTCCTAGCACCCACTCTTACTTTTCCTCGTAAGCTGTGCCAGTGATGCACTTAAAAACAATGCTGTGGCTTAGTGAGGAGTCACTTCCATGACTCACCTGAAAGACTGCTTGATGTTTTCAGTTCTGTAATTTTGCCCAAAAATATGAAAAAGCAGTAATAGAATTAAATGAAAACAGAAGTCTGGTATCAGAATCAGATTCTTCATTCTGATTATCATCTGAGACTATTTCCTGATATATTATCTCAACAGTCAAAGTTGGAGTCAAACTTCATATACTTGGGACTAACTATTAAAGGCTCTTAAAAAGCTCACAAGAAATGTCAATATTTCTATTGGAAACCTAAAATGCTGAAAATATTATTTCTTCTCTAAACCATAATTTCAGTTTTCAAAACCAAATGTTTTTTTTTCTCTTGTGTTTTTATTTGTTTTGCATCAAGGCTCTTGGTCAGCATCTTAAATGTATCATTACATAGACAGAACAAATGAGGGGTTTGCTTCAAACACATGACATGAAAGTCATGGATTATGAACTTGAATCCAGGAATGGCTTTGAAGAAACTATTTTTCACTGACATCATGGCAGGTGATATTTCTAACTTATATCTTCACACAGACTCAGAGAGTCGCACATCGACTGTTGAACTATGCTGTCTTACTTTGAAGTACCATTTATTACCATCAAGACAAAGTACATCCCATCTTCATCATCTCAAGTAAATTCTGACTACAAAATTAGTGTTTCCCAAAGTCTAATGGAACATGGTGTTATTTTTGCTTGCTGCTACATCATTATTTTTCCAATAAAAAAGCCTGTAATAATAGAGCAAATATACAAACATAAAAATAAAATAGAAAGTTGATTATGTTAAAAATTGCTAACACAATGTAAGGTATTCAGATGCAGCTCAATAAAGCTGGGGATAAAGCCTTATATATTGCTTGAGGGCTGTTTCTGAGCCTGCTGATTGAAATATTGAGTGACAGACAGCACATGAAGAAGTCCAAATCTATGCTTCAGTTGTTTCTTAGACTAATCACCAAACTTTAAAGTGGAAGATAAAGAAAGTTAGGAGGATTGGAGTTATTTGTAAAGAGAAGATGAGTCTGAGTGACATTAATTGATCTCAAGTAAATTAGCAATACAAGCGCTTCTACTTCCATTGAGAAAATAATGACTATCATATAATTTATCATCCAAACTGGTGTACATCTGAAAGCAAATGCTTCCTGTTAATGATTAAAGATAGAAAAGGGATGGATTAGGATGTATCATTCAGTTCATCAGGCACTTTTTACTTCATTGTGAGAAAAAGAAAGGAAGAAAGAAAGAGGAGACATTGCCTCTGTCTTAAAAAAAGTACAAGGGTTTGTGCATGGGTGTATGGATATTTTGTTAGCAATTGACATACAACTCTTCAAGGAGTACAAAGGAGAATTTGTCATTTCAGACTATGGAACAATCCAAAAGCTCTACAGATGGGTGGAGCTAGGAGTACTGAGATAAGTCCACTTGATGGAGAAACCTAGACCAAGGCTGTCTAACTGGCTAATAACAAAATTGAGGGTGAAGCCTGTAGTTTCCTGCACTTCATTCTACAACTTTTCATTCACTGTGCTTTTAATAAAAGTCTCCAGGAGAGCAGTGGTGGCCAGATCTTTCCAAGATCTGTTTTACAATTTTCAAGGAAAAAATTGCAGCTTGAAATTTCCTTGTGATTAAGTAACTTTTGACTTGTTCTTTCAAAGCCCTGAGATGTTGGGGGGTTTTATTTACTTGTTGTGTTTGTGTTTCAGGAAGACACTTTGAGACAAGAATTTCCTAGTGAGTTGAAGGTCCTGACAAGGAGCTTTGCGATTTGTATACTGCCTGGTTGGGTTAACAGAACCTTCCCAGCATCATCTTCTAAACTGGCTTTCATCCCTTCCCAGCACAGCAGAAACAGACACAGCTGTGTATATATAACTCAGTGGAAGCCCAACATAAACCCAATTCCCCTACAATGCTTTATTCTGTCCTAAAAATGCACTTATTAGTAGAATGGTGTGCTAGTCTGTAATCTGTGGGGTAAGCTTGCTCCCACATTCACTCAAGATCACCCAAAGTTGTAAAGTTTTGCCTCCACAATTCCACCATTGCTATATATTAATTATTCATTCAGTCAATCAAGCACTCATACCTGAAAAGTATTCTAGTATCATTCTTGTTACATTTTCATGTAAGAATATTAGCTCTTTAAGCGTTCATAAGTTTGTTCTATTTATTTCAGAAATAAAAATTTAAAGACAGAAAAATGTCAATTATACGAAAAATAATGAGCTGTTCTCTTTGAGGAAAAAGGCACACCACATAGAACAAGACAATGGCTGACGCCCTGTGATTGACAGGTGGATATCACATTAGATGAAAATGATAAGAGATTTAGTGGACTGGAGAATAACTTCCTTCTGACAGTGCCCTGACCCTTGACCTGTGGCCTGACTCTTGTTAGCTTCACTAACACAGGGTAATTGTTGCAGGTGTGGGATGAAAGGCAGCTTTACAGAAACTACCAACAGTCAGAGATTTATTTTTGATGACCCCCTAATTTGCTGTTGAGATAAAACCAAAGTTTCGACTGTCTCTGACCTAGAAGAACTTGAAAATTCACCCAATAGATAGGAAGGTTCCAAATGCAGAGAACTTTCTTTAGCATTTGTCTTAAAAAATTTCTATTGCAACAGGGAAGGCGTGTGATATAGTCCAAAGCAAATATGTGACACCATCATACTGAATGCACATTGCACACATAATTGTGGCCTCGGTTTGATAAAGACTAACTTTTCATACTAGGCTTCCTAAATATTTTTGAATATTTGTAAACTCTTACTGTTTTATACTCATAAAGTGTGTCCTATTCTGAAATGACTCATTTATATGCTAATCACCATGTTCAGAAGAAACCAGTTTTGAGTTTACTCGAAGGTTCTGAAGGTAATGGCTTTGTGAGTATTCACAGATGAAAAGGTAACAGTTATGAATGATCATGAAAGCAAGTGTCTTCTCCTTTAAAAATAACATAATGTATACTCCTTTTAGCAATAAACTCTGAAAATACAGTGGAGCAGAGAGAGCTATGCAAACCTGTGATATAGTAGGAGAATATTACCAAGAAAATCAAATGTCCACAGTGTTCCTTCAAATGAAATCATTGCAGTCCCACGGCCATGATGTCAAAGAAAACTGCAGAGGAATGGAATGAAAATTAATTCCCAGCTCATCAATATATCAACATGAAGTCAAAGCCAATGCTTTGAAGTGTTTTCAAAATGCTTCACCTTAAAGTGGACCTGGTTAAGCTTTCAAATGTGAGCCACTAATGTGGTATATTTCACTTTTTTAGAATTTTTAACACTAGAATCACCAGCATGTTGTCACTCAAGATGAAGAAATAGTAACAACTGCTTAGCCACCAGATTTTGGTTCAAAGCATTTGCAAGACAGAAATTACTTTTAAACTCATTGAGGGTTCTTATTAAGGTCACGGGTCTTGACCTTTGAGAATTTTTTCTTATCCAACTGTCATACCAATGATGCACAATTGTTTAAGATAATGAACTAAGGAAAATATAAGGGTTATGTTGATCTTACAGTGATACCAGAGGTAAAGTATTTCAGTTAGTTTAGTAACCGTGTAGCCAAACCCATCTGTTTCCAAAATATCACACTTTCTTTTTTTAAATCATGAAAATAAAGGATTACGCTCATGTAGTGCTTTGTTATGCATAGTTGCTGTAATAATGTCTTCTTCCCAGACTGCCAGCTTTTCAACTGTGATGAGATCATCAGGTAACGGGCAGGATATGAGGCTCTGTGTCCTGTGTTGTTAGCACATTAAAAAAAGAAATAGCTAGGATAATTAACAACTACCTATTTGTCCGTGGGATACATTCATTATGGCACTACAAATTGGGGGTCTCCAAAATCTGTGCAATAAAATTTACTCTTTGTTCAGGAAGTTCCCCTTGGATCTGGGGAACATTCTGGTTTGCTGTGGCTATTGTAATAGTGACAGGCAGTTGACATGTCTCATAGTCTAAATGTAGTGGCAAGCGGGGGGTGGTACAATGACGAAAAAAAATGCCATTCATGCGTGTGCAAAGGAAAGGTGTTTCTTAGCATATTCCAACCTATGTTCAGACTGGAGTTGGGTCTTGGGGGTTGAAGGTCAAATCTGTGAGGTCAAAGCTATTTCTTGTCAATCTTCGTTCACTAATGACACATGAATTGGAAATTAGAACAAAGTAAGTAAAACGAATAGCCAGAAGGTGAGTGTCTGTTTTATTACTCAGAAGAGCTGGGAAATCTGGCCAATTGTTGCCCTATGTGGCTTGAATGACAGTTGTTAAGTTGAAAAAGGGACAGTGTGATGGGAATGCCACTTTAAATCTCAATTACCTCCTCCACTCCAATCAGCTTGGTGGAGCTTTAATGAAGTGCAATTCTCTGTCCTTTTCCTCGTACTTCTATCTCTAGAATGAGCCTCGCATTCAAGTTTGACAGCAGTACAATCAGTTTTCCATTCATCACTGGCCCTGTTTTAACCCTGCTGAAAAAGGGCCTAATGTACGTGGCAGTGATGGCAATTAGGCAGAAAAGTAATATTAGAAACAGACAAAAGCCTGAGTCTTTTAGCATTACAGGTGTTTTTTTTTTCCCCCCATTCTAGACATAAAGGAATAGGCAGTGTTGTTAAGTCCCCTTCTTCAGTCTTCTCTTAAGCTGAAAGTCCAACGATTTCAAGATTCAATTAATTAGAGACATGGAGAGCCAAAGAACAAGGTAAAAGCTAAGTTCTTTCTAACTGAAGACACACTTAGTAATTGGCCCCTTATTAAAATGGATATCTTCTGGGTGTATGTTTAATAAGGTTGATAACAACTCGTCATTTCCTCATTAAGTGAGCACATGAATACACTCTGTATGTAGAAAGGGAATCTTCTAGAGAACAAACAGGAAAATATCAATCTGGTAAATATAGGAATGTAAACCATAAAAATTGAAAAGCCCGGAGAGCTATAACTTTTCAGGATGGGGTCATGTTAAGTGAAGTGAAGTGTGTGTGTGTGTGTGTGTGTGTGTGTGTGTGTGTGTGTGTGTGTCTGTGTGTCTGGTGTGTGTGTGTGTATGTGTGTGTGTGTGTCTGGGGTGTGTGTGTGTGTGTGTGTGTGTGTGTGTGTGTGTGAATGAGTGTGTAAGCTGAGAATTTTTTTAGAAGAAAAGTCTTGGCTCCCCACTCACTTAATTTGAGATTCAAAATATTGAAGCCTTTGAGTTTTATAACCCAGATCAACAATGTTTACTATGATTTTTTAAATTAAACTATAAGGATGGATGACATATTTAATGACTTTTCCATATGTATACAAATACTAGATTTCCAAACCTATACATTTGTATCTGCATGTACAAGTGTCCATGTAATAAACACACTGTATCATTACAATGAAAAGCCACACATGCATGCTTAAGCACCTATGTGTATTTATCTGCACATATTTGCAAATGTGTCCATGCAGTCCATGGAAGTTTAGAAAAGATAAAAGTTCATAGATTTTGTGCATGCATTTAATTGTTGTATGTGCTTTCTTAACGGTTCCTTTTACGCCAATTTTTTAAAATGTCAGCAAGGTTGGGGTACATTTTTTTTTCTTTCTTGTTTTGTTTTGTTTTGTTTGAGATTCCACAGGAACATGTGGCAATGGTGTAAGGATCTTGTTTAAGAGTAAGGGAGGCTTGGAGGGGAGGGGGAAAAAACAGATGCAGCAATTAGGCGGCTCTTGCTGCTCATTGGGGAGGCGGCACAAGTGGGTGATAGCGGCTTTCACCTCTCACACTCCCTTCTCTCCTGCCTGATTCCTAGAACAATTCCTGTCAGAAACACTCTTTGAAAAAGGCTGCATTAGACAATGGCTCTTCACCCTTCTTTTACGCTTTAAGTAGTGGAGCAGAATGCTGCAAGGGGCTGAAAACAAGGCGTAATCTGAGAAAGACGCGCGGGCATTGTTATAACTGTGAAAACCAGAAGAGCCCTTTCAGAGCCGTGACTGAAAGTGCTCGGAAGACCTTTAGTCCTTTGCACTCTCCCAATCACCAATTAGACAAACATTAACATCAATTAAGCTGTTATACGGCACAGGTTCCATATAATTACCTTAATGGGTTGACGCTTTCTTTAGCAGCAATTTCTTAAACAAACTTCATCTTTTGTGCAACAGGCTAAGAAAATTCTCAGCAGGGAGCATTTCCTTTTGTCAAGTTTTCTAAAGAGACAGCTGAATTGTTCTATTTAACAACAAACACCTTCAGTAAGGACCCTCGTCTTGTCCCCGTTCCCACCACATTTGACTACTAGGCTCAAAGCTTATTAACCATCAGAGACAAAAAAAACGGACTGGCCAGGGGAGCCCAGACACATGCAGGGCGGGCAGTACACAAAGGACCAGTGGGTCTGGCACCGGTTTGCAAGCAGACCGTCGGAGAAAGCACCAATTGATTTAGTGCCTAGTTAGTATCCAGAGCGCCAGATCCGTCCTCACCAAAAGCACAAAGAAAATGAAATAGAAAAACAGGATCTTGCTCATAAAACAAGACAAATCTGTCTAATTTATTTTGTACCAGTAAGTGCTAATTAAATGCAAGCTACTCGGATTCTTCCTGTCCCTGCCTCACCTAATTCGCTTAGAATCCCGACAATGCCAGTCTGATTTTTCCCCCTGTTTAACAAACATTCATTTGAAATGTACTCAAATACAGCTATAAAAATACAACCCTTATATCACTTCTATTTTTGCTTCATATAAAGTCCATGTGTTTTTACTCTGTTGTGAAATTATTTAGTGGTGGTGGGGGGAAGCTCTTGGCAGAAACAAGTCCTTAAACATCCTCGTGCATCATACGGAATAAACAACTTGAGATGCATATAATGAACTATAATTGTCCCCCAGCCGAGGGTTGGAGTAACGTATGTAATCAAAATTCACAGTGATTCATTAAAAGTCAGAAGCCTAACTCTCTTAACTGTGGGTTTAAGAGCAGGATAGGGATGAAAAATAATATGTATATGTATTTGCTCTAAATTTGCTAAACTTGCATTTCAAATCTGTTTGTCTGTCTGTCTGTCTGTCTCTCATTTAACATATCTGACTATAACAATATCCTTAGAAACAACCGATTCATTTTACATTTCTAAGGTCAGTGCCCAGACTCCAAAGACCAGTGTTTGTTTCCCTGGGTCCTGGCCTTATGAACTCTTACCACCGCTTTGGGTCAGAGCTCAAGGCCAAAAAATTAAAAGATGATGGCAAATTTATGTTCAGACGTTAACCTTAGTTCACTGTCCCCCTTGACTTGGAAAATAATTCTACACAGAGAAAATAATTCTCAACTGTGTTACCAAAGATCCACATCTGAAAAAAAATACAAATACACCAGAGATCAATTTACTTAACATATCTAATTGATAATATACTTATTACAGGCTTTAAGATTAGAAGATAAAATTAAAGTAATTTTTCTTAAACTTATTCCTAGTAAATTTGATATATAGAATGGTGGCCTTTAAGTATAGTCTTTAGAAATTATTATTACTTTTTTTCTTTATGTTTGCAATGATTTGGTTTTAAAACATATTTTGAGTTTTTCTGGATTACTATATTAGTCCCTCATGACACTACTTTACAAATATGACTATAGTTCTCATATTCTTCATCGCTTATTTCTGTCTGTCTGTTTTAGCATAAATTGGGAATATCACAACTAAATAGTGGAAGCATAAAGTTAATTCAGAAGATTTTAAAAATAGATTAGATACTGCAGTTGCAAAGTGTTTCTTTTCAAAGCATTATCCAAGAATTATACAAATCTGTGTTCTGCTTAGATCCTTAACACATGACACACATAACTAAGTATGATAAAGAGGGACCGGATGTCAGGTAGCAAAGTCACCTTTGTAACCACAAAGAAAATGTGTGGGAATCCAAGATACTTTTGTCTAATTTTCACATTAGGAATAAATCTATAATGTATGAATGGATTTTTTTTTCCATTCAGCACACCAGGCAAAGATCTGAATAATGTTCACATTTTTGACACCCATATCAAACTGAAAACACCTCAATCAACTGTTGGATGGATTTGGCATAATTATTGATACACTTTGCAGGATTTAAAGAGTGAGGATTCAGTGCTCACATACCACATTTGAAATGAACACAACTTATCAAGTGGAGTTCTGACATGTGTGACTCTTAGTATCATTTTGGAAGTGAAATAACCTGTCAGAATTTAAAATGTGTTAACAACTGGATGGATAAATGGCAGGGACATGAAGAGAGGACATGGGGTTGCTTTGAGATCTTGCTGTGGAGTAGAGGCACTGCCTGCCAGCCTAGGAGTAACTACAATAAAAGATTTCCCCTAGGGGTTCTGCACAAAAACTCTGCAGTAGAGTAAACAAACCTACTACACAGTAGATTCTCCCAACTAGCATCTGCAATCTTCCTTACAAAAGCCATTTGCTGATGGCTTTCCAAATATATCCAGGGTGACAACTGATTTATTTTGCCTTTGAAAAGTAGTTATAACCAGTCATTCTTTCAACAAATGTTTAAGATTCTACTATATGCCTGGCATTCTTTTCTGAGTACATTATCAAACTCCAATAGTATAAAATGCCTAACAGCCTCTTGCTAGAGATGTCTTCACTTTACATGGATCAAGGCAATTTATGGAGAAGACACAGACAAAAAAAAAAATGAATCACAAGTACATGCTCAGACTTTGTATAATTCTTCATCGTAATTAATTTCTGTTTGGTGGCTGGTGTGTGGTAGAAGTGTTGGATAATTTGCTGTTGTAGCTTTCCCCATATTCCTTACACAGTTGAGTTTCTATACTCAAAATTTTTCAAGAAAGGACATCCTCTGATCCCCCCTGTTCAATTGCATGGTGTCATTGACATTTATAACATTAATTTTAAGGGCCTATGGTAACTATTTATTTGGTTACAAAATATGATTTCCTTGTCCCTTTCATTTGAATCCTGATAAATAGAGAGCAGAGGGCAGTGTGTAGGGAAGTGAATAGCTAGGATCCAGACAGAGCTCCTTACTTGATTTTTAAAGTATAGTTTGTGGAGTGTGTGTGTGTGTGTGTGTGTGTGTGTGTGTGTGTGTACATGAATTTAGAGACAGGCACTAGTACATGCACATTACACTCTGGAATGCATTGGAGTCTCCAAAATGATAATTATAAATTTCAGATCCTAAAGGGTAAACTAATATATTTTGGTAGCAATGAAACTCATATTGGATAGAATTACTCTTCTGGGAACAATGAGTCAGCTTCAAGCAGCCATATGACTGAGCTGAGCAATGCCCTTGGGTGCCCACAGGATACCGTGTGGAAGTAGGGAAATAGTTAAGAAATGTGTTCATAAATACTCTTAGAAGGAATTAGGGATACATGTTTTATACTACCATCACACACTGATATCACACTTGACCATTTCCTGCTTCTTATGGAAAACTTGAGATACTCCAGGCTATTCATTCTTGCTAAAAACTAGTATTTAAGTGCAATGAAGATGGACAATGATTTCTTTGATTTATAAGTACTTCAAAGCACAAAATGGTCATCACATACAATTGATACATGAGGAAACATGTCTTGGAGGTAGTAACCTAAGAGCAAACATTTCCAGGACAGAAAGGATCACTTTGCCTTCTGCAGTTCTATCACATAGCTCTAGGTCTATAAATATCTCTGTCTAAGCTACACACGTGATTTTGCTGTAGTTTCAATTCAACCTTATTTAATAAATAATACACATACACCCTTACACTGGAAACTGCCAATATGTAGCATCACTACTGGGATTTGGAAATGCTGGCATATTTCTAGCACTTTAAATATTGTGACTATGCATAGATATGAAAAGGGAAGTCCTTACAACCTCTTAGAGGGAGGTAAATGTTTTAAAGCAAAATATAGAAGATTAAATGAGAAGGCAGAACATTAAAATAATACAAAGATAAACACTGTCATATTTATTTCACAGTGTTTCATAGTTCAAAGTAGTAAAGAAAAGACTCATATTGTTAGTGATATTTTAAAGGCAATGAAGTTTTTTTAAATGTTAGATCAATTCTGTTATCTGAGAATCAATAAACCTTTATGTACCCAAGTTCTCCATAAAAAGAAGGATTGGCCAGTGTGTTTGTTTGGGACTACACAATGGTTTTAACCTTTCTTCTTTAATGTTCATTGTCCAACTTAGTTCTTCTTTCTAATCTGATTAAGAATCATATTTTTATAATGCCTTAAAATGGTGCTTCATCCTTCTAATGTCATATCTGAGGTTCAAATACCATTGGAATCAATTCTTTGGTAATCATACTTGGAAAGTTTTGTACTCTGTCACAAAAGCAAACAGCGCTGCTGTTTAATGGAAGGCTGCCAGTGTGCCATTTACTCTCTCATGCTAGTGTGTTAAGTCTTCAAAATCCAGTTCTTTACAAGTCTATGTATAACCTTGGACGTTTGGAGGTCTGTGGGTCAGCAAAGTTCATCTCATTTATTGAATTCTGCTTTGGTTAATCTGCGGTGGCCTACAGCTACTCTGTCGTGTGTGATCTTTCCAAAGTTCAGCTGGGTTAACAAACACGATTTCCGCCTGGTGCATCCCAGTCTATAGGAGAGGCCAAAGCTTTTCATTCAGGCCCTGGAAAGTTTCCTCCTCTTCCACAGGTGGTGTTGTAAACAAGGAAGATTAGGGTGCATCCCAGGCCACGTGTGCTTCCCCACTGCCCCTCCTCCACTCTCCACCACAAAGGAGTGATAGAAGTGCAGGGTTTTAGCACACTCAGAAGGAGAGGGAACAGCAGCGTGTCAACAGGGGAGAAGAGACATGGGCAGGGAAAGTGAAAGTAGGAAATATTGGAAAATGAAGTCAGAAAAATAGCTATAACCCCAAAGAATCCCAGTCTCTTTATCCACAGCTTGTTTGTTTTGCTTTTGATATGGTGTTGGGAACGAAAGTGCAGTAGGTCAATTAGGATTTCAGCTCTGAAAATGGAAGGGGTGGGGTGGGAGTCTCTCCTTCAAAACCTCCTCTTATCCTTTTTTTTCTAGTACAGGGAATCAGAAAAAAGAGTATGATAGAGAAACGCGTGCGTGAGTGAGTGTGTGTGTGTGTGTGTGTGTGTGTGTGTGTGTGTGTGTGTGTAAAATTAACTACATTTGGCTTTTGGGCTTGTCACACAATTACCAAATTAGTTATTCACTAAGAGTATTCATCTAGGATTTGTAACACTTTCCCCACCTTAATTTTAGAATATTCCATGCAAGGGAAAAAATTTCGTTCTTTTTAGTGTGTTCATTAAAAGCCCTTCTCTTAATGCTAGGCTCTGGTGTTACAGTGGCAGCTACTTCTGTCGTCACAATATCAAGATGTTGGATTGAATTTTGAAAATTACAAAGACCTTGCAGGCATGCAGTGGAATTGATCATTCTTTCTATATACTCAATGTAGCCTCATTTGAAGCTTATATATTGACTTTAATACAGCCCTTCATCTCATTTCAACTTATAGAACTTATTAAAAGTATGAAATGGAAAATAGAAAGGTTCCTGAAAGGTTTCAGATCTTTGATAGGCAACACTTATGAAAAAGAGAACCCTTTGCTATTCTTTCTTCATATGAAATTTCGTGAATTGAGCTGATGTTCTGCGATGTAAAGCAAACTGTTCATTATTTACACATGCAAATATGTTCACAATGAGTTCAGAGACATAATAGAGGGTGCTTAATTCCTGTGTTTATAGTAGGAAACCTCAACATGATTTACTTATAAAGACCCAACTTTCCATGTATGCATTTACAGAGGCAAGGGGCTGTGCTCATCTTTCTGGAAAAGCCATCTTGAAAACTTTCCAAATGACTCTCACCCCAGTGCTTTTTAATGAATGAATTTTGGCTTATTTGAAGCTGAGGTAGAGGTCTTATTTTTGTTCAATACTTTTCTTCACAGATTCATAAATTACTCATTGGAGAGGAAGCTTCTCTACTCTATAGCATATCTAAAGATAGTTAGGCAGAGAGAGTTACCGTCTGTGACAATGGGCTGAGGACACTCAAGGGGTAGTCTTGTATATCATTTCTGCAAACCTAGAAGGGAGAACACAGTCTAAATAGTTTGAGCACATATAAATTAAGAGTTGTCTGGAGGGATATCACTTTGGGATTTGAGAGTGTAGATTTTTAGAGTCACTGTATATTGGTATCAAGACATTGAATAAGGCCTTATAGAAGAGTTGGCACTGTATTAAGTAGTCACACAAATTAATGCATTTCCATCTGCTTCTCCAGATACGGGTGTTTCTCTACTCATCAACTCATTAATCACCTACTTAATACCATACTTAAGCCAAAACCTAATTATTGAGTCCAGAACCATAGCATAATATTATGAAGGCAAGAGCATATATATATATGTGTGTGTGTGTGTATGTGTGTGTGTGTGTGTGTGTGTGTGTATATATGCTCTTGCCTGCATATATATATATATATATACGTGTGTGTGTGTGTGTGTGTGTGTGTGTGTGTGTGTGTGTCCCAGTGATTGCTTTGAAGGTTTAAATAGGTTGAAATTGCCATTTTGAATATTGTCATAAATTATGAAAAGCAGTAGTACAGTCAAAAGATAATGGCACATTATTTTCATAGTGCACTATAACTCTGCAACTACAGATGCTATGATCTATCGCAGTAGCTGTGGGTCATTATTTAGTTAATTTAATTAGTCTTAAGTAAATAGAGTTAATCTGTTGAGATATTTGTCAGCATAATTTATGGCCACTTAGAGAGGTAGACTTATAAAGGTATTTAGCAAGAAATATTTTCTTTAACACGTATTGTACTAGCTTAGTTTCAGAACGTAGTTTGTAATTTGCTATACACTGGCAACGCACACACACACACACACACACACACACACACACACACACACACACACACACACACCATCCTGTGGTTAGTTTACTCCTTGCTACTTTAACAATCAGTTACTGCTTTGGTGAAAGCCTAAAGCTTAATCCATTAAGAGCCATTCAGGACAAAACAAACAAATAAAGCTTTAACCACTTCAGTGACACCAGTGCAGAACCAACAACCAGCCTTCTCAGCGAATCCTAGCAATTTTAGGATCAATAGCCTCACCCAGGATGCTACCAAGTGAGGAGAGTCAGAAAATGTGTGCTGCTAGGCTTCAGAGAATGCAGCAAGATACAAACCCATCAGAGAAAGAGAATTTGATACATTTCCCTTTGGAAATGCTCATGCAGTCCTGAGATCTGACACATCCTATCAGTAAGCATGGGGAAAGAAAACAACAACAACGAATTCAAACATCACCTGGGCCTGAAATTTTCACCTGTGCGCCCTGAGAGTTGAGCTGTTAAAATAGCTTTTATTCTTTCTCTAAATTCCAACATACACACACACACACACACACACACACACACACACACACACACACACACACACACACGCAGGCATACACACATGCATGCTCTTAGAAATATAAATATATTTCTTTGAAAACAAATCTTATATCTTTAAAGTATTCCAGAGAGCTTTAAAGCCCACTTAATTCAGGGCTACAGTTTGAACAAGTAGAGCAATGAGTACATTTATATTTGAAAGCAGTAAAAACAAACATTTTTTTCACATAAGATTAAAAGCCTGTTCATTTCCTTTTATTCCAATGTATATTATCTTTTGTGAAAAGTTCCATTAGCTTCTTTTACACATGCTAGACTCCTAAATAATACACCAACACTATAGAATGTGTCTCAGAGAGAAGCTTCACCATCATTCTGTGGACTAAGGAAATAACTTTTTTTTTTTAATTTTATTACCCTGTCCTTTTTAGTTTTGCAAAACAATTTAAAAATACTGTATCCCTTATGGTTCTTAAAAGCCCTTTACATTTGTACTTAATTACAAACTCAGTAATGAAATAGGAGTATTATTTATTATTTATCTCAAAGTGTCAGCTGGCTAGATTTTACCCACAAATTATCTGGAGGCATTAAATTACATGCCTTCGTAGGTAGTCAACAGATAGAGTTGGGATTGCCTGCAGTAGGGTTTACAGGCCAATTTGTTTACTGAATATTGTCTACTCATTTACATTTTTTCTGTTTCTTAAAGTAGATTCTCACTGAAGGAACACTTAATATAAGGAAGCTGCAAAGCAAATATCTTTAGTTTTAAAAGTAAACATCAGATAAAACACAGAGCAATCTTTCCATGAATTGTTAATAAACAATATTGACCATTAATATTTTACAGATTAAAGAAATAAATCATGCTGTAATATATCATTAAAATGCATGGTTTTCCTGCATGTCAGAAGTGCTGTTCAGTTTTGTCTGGATTCATTAAAGCTCTCAGAGCATAAGTGCATTGCCAACCGGAATGTGGGTGGCTGTAATGGCAGCCTGGAGGTTTGTATGGAAAACAAGCATGGTACTGTGAAAAAAATCCTTCTCTCACCCTACAGATACCTGTGCCGAGAGCTTGGGAGGCATTTCCGTAGGTTCACTGTCAAGTGACTGTTACAGTCCCCCTTCACTGAGAAGCAAAGGTAAGTCTGAAAAAATGCACTGAGGAAAGAGGAAAGGGGGTGGGGTGGAACCACCTAAGCCTGAAGCAGCCTAACCAAGTGACAGACACGTAGACAACTCTGATGCTGCCAGAACAACACTCTGCACAGCCCACCAGCAAGCAATTTGTCATAGCGACAAGAATATCCTCCGCAATTTGGCATCAGGGTCCTTGGCCAGCCAACTGCGCCTGTACAGCACGAGTCGTGCTATTCTGCAACATGAAGATGGGAACCAAGGTTCTCGTTATTATGTCCAAATACGTTATTTTATGAAAAACATATCTTTTGTCATAATCAACATAGAGATAGAACGGTAGCAATTGATAATAGCAGGGGGCAATAAAAACTAAATCGAGACAAATATGTGCTGGTATGTTTTTGAGATGCCCCTACTGTTGAGATTTCAGGATGCTTGCTTATATGTTCGATCTTTATGGCAGGCTCCCACAGAGTTTTCTAGAAATGATGAATCCATAGGTACAAGAAGGAACTGGGAGGTTTGGTGAAGTAAATAATTTGCTTTTAGAAGAATGTAGTCTTGGCTTTGTTTTCAACTTCATTTTCTTGTATACATGATGTTGACTAATGTTAGTTTAGAGCAAATCCTTTCTGATTGGTATGGCTTGAAATAAGGCAAAGAATTCAAGGTAAGTTGGGTTATAAAAGTGCAAAGGAAAGACCCTTTGCTCTTTATATTCCTACCCTGGTAATCTTTTGTAAAAGTGCAGTAAAGGAGAGAAGCCAGAAGCACAGGATAAAGGTATCAGATAAATAAGCACAGAGAACTCCCTTGCCAATTACTTGGCATCTTGCTTAGTAATTAATGCCACCGTAATGAAAAAAAAAAAAAAAAAAAAAAAAAAAAAAAAAAAAAAAAAAAAACAAAAAAAAAAACAAGTGGTAGCCACAAAGATTGGGCCTTTTGTGAATTCTATACAGAACCAAACACTCATAAAAATCTTGCTCAAAGCTAGCCTACTTTGGCTCTCTTCACAATCAAAACTTGCTAGAGAAAGAATTAGTACAAACCTAAAGTGTGTGTGTGTGTGTGTGTGTGTGTGTGTGTGTGTTGCAATGTATTATTTAAGAGTGACATCAGATAGTTGTAGAATTGCTGTCTCCAGACAAGAATGTCCTTCATTCCCCAGACATTATGGAATCACGGATGCACTCTGCCAGGAACTAGTATTAAGCTATTCATTGTGTTGTTCACTAGTGGTTCTATGAAAAAATTTTAGCTAACCAAGCTTATGTGGTTATAACTGCCTTGTGATGCATGCTGTATTTCCAAAATCTTATAGACTTCCTGTGTCCTATGAAACATTCAGGAAATGCTAAAAACAGTCAAGACTTAAATAATAATAATTGTAATAGTAATAATGGATATTTTAAAGTATAAAATAATATAATTTAGGCAATTTTTATTATTTAAGGTTTGTAAAAGATTAGAAAATATTCAAATAAATCCATAATAATTTATAAACAATAAATTTAATTATTTAATGCATGTATTATAATTTTATAAAACTACAGCAGTAAGATTTCCAATCTAGCTGCAGTAACTGAATAGTAGTCATGGTTTGGTGTTGGGGAATTAGAGAAGGAGACTTTAATTACAGCATTATGGAAATGATGAGAGTGGAGTGTGTTGACAGCATGTCTATAGAGATGATTAAAGAAAGGCTTAAGATTTAAATCTTGGAGGGATATAGTTAAAGAAAGGGGGAGAACAGAGAAGTGTGTGAGGCGTGTGTGTTCAAGGCTTGACAACACAAAATATAGTGGAGACCATAAAGAAAACTAACCCTACTTTCCTAAGCTTTGCATGGAGGGTGTTTTCCTTGTAAGTCCCATTAGTGTCAATGGGACTCATGCAGCTAAAACCTTGTGTAACTCTTTGACAATTTACTTCCTAGTGTCAAGAAAAGAGTACTACCTACTAAGGGCAATTTACTCATTTTAGTTTGTGCCTCCCATACAAAGATGGATTTGATAGCACATAGCAGGAAGAAAAGAGTGCATTTAAGATTTTGTTAGTGCAGAAGAAGTCATCATCGTGAAACGTTGCCTCACCTTGTTTAACAACAACAATAAACAGAGAAAAGCAATTCAACAAAAGAATATGAAAAGAAGTATGGACTTGATTACAGGAAAAATGGTGATTGCTACTATCAGGATTTTTTTTTTCATTTTAAAATTTCAAGCTCTGAACACAATCACAGGATAATAAGGGTACAGGGAAATTCTTAGGACAGATTGAAGCTCCTGATTGCTTCCTGTTCTGTACACCTCATGCCTTACCTATATAAATACAGCAATGGTATCCTGACAAAACCTTTAATAGCGCAAATACAGCAGGAGGAAAGCTACTGCACACTTCTAGTTATGGGGAGAAAAATAAGTCAATTGGCAGATATCTGCTCCTATATCAGCAGTAAGTAAATTAAGGCACTATAGTCTTTATATTTTTGAGAGCTATAGGGTGAGCATATAAAGAACCATATACTCCATTAAAAAGCCTGATGTCACATAGTGAGCACCACCTCTACAGGCCTTCATTTTCATTACAAACCTTTGACTCCTTTGTTTCAATGTTATACTGCTTTGATAAGGTAATTCTTAAAATTTCAAGCCCTGTAATAGATGTAGGTGGCTGCAGATGGGACACCTGTATTTTCTGCCCATTTTCTGGGATTTGTTTTATGATTTGTCGGTTGGAGAGTAAAGAAGTGAGAACCCATATGGCTCTGCTTTTTAGTGTATGGCTAGAGGAGCAAACCCCCAAAGAACTGCCTATGCACCGAGATGGCTCTGCAATATCTCTCAGTTTTAATAGGTAATGAATGCCTCACATTCTGTACCTAGCTTGCACTTTAATTTAGGTCTGTGGACTGCTGTAGGAGCCACAGAACCATTGCTCTTTGATTGCACCAATTAGCAAATACTGAACACACACACACACACACACACACACACACACACACACACACACAGCCTTGCATTTATGAATGTCTGACTCTTGAAGATTTGAGCAATTATCTCATCAAAACTATTACTGATTTTTACATAGACATCTCAATAATTTGAAAAACTAAAAACTTTCCTAGAGGCATACTGATATTTCTGGGTAGAAATAATACATAATGGTGAATATGGAGATTTGATAAATGAGGGCATTTATAGGAAGAGCATCTCTCAGAATTTAGATGTACTTCTAGACTAAATTCTTGATAACAAATTTTATTTGTGAGGATTCACAGTGAGTCAGAACTCTTGCAATGTGATGTTCCTGGAGGACCGGATTGGGAATTGACAAAATAATGAAAGCATGTGCCATGAGAGAGATGTTGCACTAACTTAAATCATAGACAAAGATAAATGTAAAACATTATAATTCAGGAAGTTTTAGTTTAAAAACTCTTATATACCTCAGAGCATTCCTTGCTTGTGAATAGGTCACAGATCCTTAGAAAAATACACATTGGAAGATGTCCAATCACAAATTGAACAGGATTTAAGTATAGTGCACAAAGCTCTTTAGGTGGCTATTCTATTTTTTCTTACAACTGAACATAGATATAACAACATTTTTTTATACCAATAAAATAAGTTAATAGCAACATTTACAGCAAAAAGAACAGAAGATGAGAGAGGAACAAGGAAAAATCAGTTGGATATTTCAGTGGCTGCTATTGCTATGCTACAGAAATATAACTTCCTTCTACATTTCAGCACCAACATTTCCTTCTGAACAAGACCAACAAGCTCATTCAAGCATTTCATCAAGTCAAAGTACACCATCTGATATCGTCTATCTTTCATTTTATCCTTTCTATGAAGAAGGTACTTTAACTAATTTAATTCTAAATTTTAATCTCTTAACTAATTTAATTCTAAATTTTAATCTCTTAATTTCAGATGTTTTTGAAAGAAATTTTCTATATAACAATATTTTTCAGGACTGAAGTTTAAGGCGTATTTCAAAACTTATTCACTTTTTTTTTCAAAACTGCTTCTACTGGTTGAGAAGTTAACACCTAGATATGGTATCTATGCTGTCATTTGGGAGTTCAAGTACTTGGGGAAAGGACCCACACAAATAACATGCATAGACTTTCTATATCTCAAAATCACATATCTAATTTCAAAATAAGAGCTTATACACACAGAGAGTGATAGATACAGAGACAGAGACACAGAGAGAATTATTTTTTAGCTCATTGAATATCATTTTGAGTATGTATGTATTGACTCTGAAATACTTTACCTGATTCAGGGTTGTTGTCCTTAAACTGATTGTTACATATGTTCTCAATAAGAAGTTCTGAGACAAAAGAATATATAATTAATGACTAATTATATTCATTGCTGAGATTATATATATTATTTCTTTTTTCCCATTCTATCCATCTTTCTCTAAATTTCTACAAACATGACACTTGACTGGATTTCTGAAACTCAAATGAATTTGGACAGCTAAAGTATTGAAGGAGGTAAGCGTTGAGTTGGGTCATGCTATTATGAATATTTGTTGAGTCTCTGGATCCAGAACTTTTGGAATAGCAAATTGATGGTCCACCTGAAAGATCTGAAGCCTAAACTTCTTCCTCTGTATTCAGGAAGAAGTCACTGTACAGTAGTAGAGTATTTTGAAAACAAAGTAGCCCATTATTATACATGCTTGCCTAGGACCAAAGGCTGGACAGTGACCCTTCCCATGAATCACTAAGTGGTCTGTTCTTGTCAACCAGCAGGAGACTAAGCATAGCTAATTAGAAAGGAAGGAGCTTTATAGGAAGGACTTTCATCTGGAAAAATTTCAAAGATACCCCTACATAGAAAGAAAACATCTAAGCATGTGTAGTGTTGTACACCTTTAATTTGAGCACTTTGGAGGCCAAGACAGGTCGATCTCTGGAGTTTTGAGGCTAGCTTGGTGTACGTAGTGAATTCTAGGAATTCAGAAGTATGTCGAGAGACCTTGTATCAAAACCAAACCAAACCAAACAAACAAAAACCAAAAAGAAAGAAAACATCCACTTAAAATGAAATGGTGAGGCTTAAAATTAATGGAGCAGGTTGAAAACTAGCTTTCAAGGATTGAAAATAAGGTGAACAGCAGCATAATCTTTATTATTGAAGTGCAAGATATAACTAATTGGTATGATCTTTCATGACTTTTTAACAGGCAGTGCTGGGAAAGGTGAAGAAAATATTTCTCTGGTTTTCCAATAGCAGAAATTTCAGCATGCCATTTTTTTAGGAATTCATTGAAATTTTAGGTCCATTTTATCTTGTGTAAGGTCCTTTGGGATGTGAATATTGCATGACTCTGTGTTGTAGCTATAGTTGTCAAAAGCACCCATTTGAGTAAAGCGTAAATGACTCTAGTACTATTTACAAAAGCAGAAAGGCCAGATTCTTAACACCTGATGTTTCTGTTGTTGTTGGAACTCTTATTCTCCAAAACAGTCTATTATTTTTTTCCAGGACCATTCCACTCATTTATTCAATTGTCCAATCAAAAATATTCACCAGATACTGACCAAAGAGCATGGCCATGTTTCTCACAAATGAGTAACTTAGAGAACACTGACATAAGGGTTTAGACCATTAAAATGTGGACTATCTGACTGGTGAATGATGCAGCAGGCCCATAGTAACAGCACAATAGTCTGGTAACTGCATGCCATCTTCTTTAGGGGAAGTGGAGGACTTTACAACAAAGAGACTAGAAGATTCTATCGGGAAATCAATGGCTGAACTAGATTAGCAATGAAGATGGGGACCGTTTAAATTCCTGTCACAGAATTTAGAGTATTATAGTGAGTCATGGGGTTAATTTGTGGTTTTGGGGAAGCCCTTGTAAAACATTTTCTTTTGATTACAATAATATTTATTATAGTGAAGTTTCACTACTGTAAGTCCTTTTTTTGCAATGGGATATCTTTTTTTGTCTTCCTATATTGCATAGTGAGGAAAGGAGATATTATAAAATAATAAATACACAACTATACACAACTCTAGTTAATGTTGATTTCTACTCATTCAGTAGATAAGTTTAAGAAAATGTTTAATGTGTTTATGAATGAGTAAAGATAAATTCATGGGATTATGAGAAAAATCTGATGAACTAACAGAAGAATTGCCAGCATAAAAATATTCCCAAATAGGACAACATAGCTATATTATTTTAAAATTTTGTAAGATTTCTAGAACTTTCCAAGAATAGCTAAGTACATGGACATTTTTATTTTTTGTGGCATCCAATGTCTTAGAAGGATTATCTCTAGTGTATATGAAAAAAGAAGTAGGTAACAGGAGGGATTGATATATCAAAAATATTTAAATCACACTATAATATAATGATCTAGGTAAACATTTCTCAAAATATAGTGTCCAAGCCGGGCGGTGGTGATGCACGTCTTTAATCCCAGCACTCGGGAGGCAGAGGCAGGCGGATCTCTGTGAATTCGAGACCAGCCTGGGCTACAGAGTGAGTTGCAGGAAAGGCTCCAATGCTACACAGAGAAACCCTGTCTCAAAAAAAAAAAAAAAAATAGTGTCCAAAGAACTATCCAAGGGAGATGCTAAAGGGCAGTATGCCTGGGTAAGATGACTAAATTTTCACTTCATATGAGCTTGCAAGTGATACTAGTGTAGTTAAGGATCATACTTTGAGAACTACTGCTGATGTAAACAGCCCTCCAAATTTCATATGCTTAGGAGTTTCCTGGATCTTGTTAAATTGAAGGTAACAATACAGTGGGCTCAGGGTGGATGAGAGTGTTTCCATTTTGAAAACACTCAGAAGTAAAGCTGATATAGCTGGTCTACAGATCGCACAATGAAGATTCAGGTGATTTCTTATAGTATAAGCCCAAGCCATGTGACATGAGTTTTTGGTTCAGAAAAAAAAAAAAAAAGTGTCATCAACTTTCCACTTCCTGATCAGAGAAGACTGTATCCTTATTAATGAGAGCTAGTAGAAAAATCAGTATTTTGCTTGTATAGAGTATGAATAAGCATTACTACTCAACAGGCAGAAGCATTTTCTGAGCATCCACTCTCCATGAAATAAGTGTCTTAGCTACTCTAGGAGAATTAGATAAACAGTGGGTTTCTTTTGTTTAATTTCTGAAATGAAATACTAGCCAGATTGACAAACTTCTGACCTCATTATATTTCCCTGGTTATGATAAATTGTGTATAAATACAAAGTAAAAACAGGGCTTGTTTAATATCTCAACTGAAAAATAATAAAAAGGATTCGTCAACCAACCCTCCTTGTTCAAGGTTTTTGTTGCATTAGACAAGTTCTATTTATATAAAGCAAAAAGTTATACTAAATCCAGTGAAAAGAACAGGATCACATGTGGGAGACTGTGGAAGCTTGCCTTCTGTATGTGACTCCTCAAGCCCCAGTTCCACAGTGATTGCTAACTCTCCATTTATTCTCACTGTGTAACCCTTTCTCAAAAGCACAGAGGTGAAATTATAGTTATGGTGATAAATTAACAGATTTGAGTTAGAAGTCTTTAAGAGGATATTAAAGTAAAAATAGAAAAATATTATATACTTGGGAAAACTCTAACTGGTATTAAGCACCCAGAGATTCCCATATTTCGGTCCTGTGCCCTCCTATTAAACACATTTTCAGGTGACACGATACTGTTCCATTCAATGAGTGACTTGCAGTGGCTTTTTCATAGTTGACGGTAAGTTTCGACTTAGAGTCAAGGCAGGAACTCAAACAGGGTAGGAAGCTGGAGGCAGAAACTGTGGTAGACACTGTGAAGCTATGTTGTTTCCTGGCTTACTCGTCATGGATGCTTAGCCTGTTTGCTTATAGCATCCAAGACCACCGTATCAAGGAGTGCAATGGACAATGCCTTCCTTCTACAATGGGCTGGGTCTTCCCTCGTCAATCATTAATTTAAAAAGCGCACCATAGACTTGCCAAGAGGCAAATATTATGGAGGCATTTTCTCACTAGGAGGTTGGTTCCTCTTTTCAAATGACTCTAGCTTGTATCAACTTGACATAAAACTAGCCAGGACAACTGACCCTTTGTCAGATTGACACACTAATACAATACTATTAAACAATAATCTTTCCTTTTTTGTTCATCCCAATTCCTCATGTTGATGTCAAAACATAAACATAGCATAAATTTAAAATTCCCAGTTTTTAAATTTTTGAATACTTAAATATTCCAGTCTCTTTCAAATATTGTCCTCTAAAAATCCAAAAATTTTCCACATTTTCAGTGTCTTTTAAAATCTCCAAAATTTCTCTAAATTCCTAAGTTTCTGAACAACTCCAAACTATCTTAACTGTGAGCCCTGTTACATACAAAAAAGTAAATAAGTGAAATAATTTATTAAAGCTGGTGGGAAGCCACTGGGCATGATCACAGTCAAGTCAAAGCCCAACCATGTACAATTTAGTGTGAGATTGACCTCTGGGACTCACAATCTCTGTGTTCCTCCAACATGCTTGGAAAGCCATCCACAGTACATGTAGTTTATCTCTTCTGTCTAGAATAGAGACAGCTCCACCTCACATCTGCTGCTGTCATTGGTGGTTTTCCCATGGTACTGTCATCTCCCAAACTCTCAGCTCTCCACTGCAACTGGGTTGTATATATTCACCAAGAGCCTCCCTTGTGCTCTGTTTGGGCACTCTAACACTGTCACATGGTGCCAAGCCTTAGCCTCTCTCCATGACCCCTTCAGTCCTGGGATTTCACTACTACTGAGGTTGGGCCTTCACCAATGCTGTCCTGACCTCTCAGTGCTGATCCTTAGCTGCTCTCCATGACCTCTTCATGCCTTCAAGATGAGTACTACCTGGAAGATTCTTATACTATGAAGTTCAACTGCCAGCATGAAATGCAACATCTACTACCTCTGATTCACAGCTCCTATGTGATGAGCCCAAGGAAACATTTCCCAAAAGATTTCTCCTCAATGATGTTGGTCTCTTCTTAATTGGCCCCATATAACCAGTATCTTTTGTCCTAGAAAAGCAAAGGTTTCACTTCAGTAGTTTTTAATGTAAACTGTTGGATGGCCTCCATAGAGTCTTTAAGAAACTCTCAAATTTCCCCCGGAATGTGACAAACCAGGCCTCCATCATCTGAATTTCTCTCAATTTTATCTTCTTTTAGGTCGCTCCAACAGGAAGACAACCTCTGAACACTTGATCACCTTTTTAGCCCAAAGTTCCAAAATCCTTTCATTATCCCCACAAAACCAAAGTCAGATCTCTCATAGCAATACCCTACTCCTGTCCCAATCTCGGTCTTAGTTGGGGTTTCTATAGCTGTGATTTCAAAGCACCATGAACAAAAGCAACCTGAGAAAGAACAGATTTATTTCAGCTTACAATACCACGACACAGTCTATCATTGAGGAAATTCAGGGCAGGAACTCAAACAAGGCAGGAAATTGGAGGCAGGAGCTGACACAGGAATGCGGCTTTATTGCTT